AGTTATGATGGGATAAGTTGTGTTGGGATTATTTTTTATTGAGTGTTTGGTTTGTTATATTCAAAATAATAAATTTTAAGAACAATTTATTTATTTACAAAAATGCCCTTCATTAAGGTAAAAAGTGATACAACAAAAGGGTTGAAAGAGACATTTTTGTCATTTACCTATTTTATCCCGGGATAAGTTATCCCGGGATTACTATACCACCCAAGGAGAGGGATAACTTATCCCGGTACTAATTATTAATCCCGGGATAAGTTATCCCGAACTTGCCAACCAAACAACAAAATAAGCGGTACTATAAAAGATCCAAGTCCAAAGCATTTCTCCAAGAATTCATAAAATTTAGCAAGGTTTCCCATTTCAGGCATGTGAGATTTCATTGATGAATATCTTTCAATCCATTAAATTCCAAAGAAAACCTTATTCTTCAGTTAATCAAATTCTACATAACTTCGGGTTCATATGAAAAGCATGACTTGCATCTTATTTCAATTTTTCTTCATGAATAGCCCATGAATATATGTCTCAACTTAAAATTCAATATTCTTATATGGTTATTTTCGTAAGCATTCAGAATAGGGAAAATTCATGTCCTTGAAATTGCGTTGCTTAAATTACATGTTTTATTGGGGATGACATAATTTGTTATGATCAGTTGTACTGTCAATCTTTCAGTTCCATATGTATATGATGCTTTCAGATAAAGCATTTATTATCTCAGTCTCAGATTTTAGTATAATTGAGTTATCCAGTTAGGAGTATAACTTAGCACCGAGTAGACGTAGAGATGGAGGTTCACCCGTCAGTTAGGATTGAGACCTTTAGTAGCAATTTTTAAGTCTCAAAATTATGCCCCAACATAGGTTTTAAGAGTCACCTGTCAGACTAGGACTGACACCTTAGTCCTTTTTGGACATCATCTTAGTGGATCCACATTAGACAATGCTAGTACCCTGGTAAAGTACATAGCACCTTTCCAACTAGGGTATAGGTTGGACTCCTTTTAGCTCATGTGGAATAAAGTCGGTTAATAGTATCTCCCGCAATTCAATCTCAGATATTTGATGACATTGTATTCCAGTTTACTCAGTGTTGATTAGTTACATGCTTATTACTTGGTCATTGCATCAGCTTATTAATTTCAGTTTTATATTCAGTTTAGCATCTTAGATTTATCATGTTCAACTTGTTAGATTATTATGTTTATCTCATATATTCAGTACATTCAAAGTACAGACGGCATACTCTTTTATGCCATACTGTTTTATAATATAGGTTAAGACCCTCGGTATCTATCTCGTGGTTAGTATGATTTTCGTATCATCTCAGCAGCTGAGCTTGGTAAGTCCTTATCTTTCGAGGACAAGTGCTATTATTATTTCTTTATGTTAATTTTTCAGTTTCAGACAGTTAGAGTTAGTTGCGGGCTTGTCCCAACAACTCGTCTTAGTAAAGGTTTTTAGACAGTCAGACAGTAGTTTCAGCCTTATGGTTTGTTCAAACGATTTCTATTTTACTATTCAGTTGTTTTAGATTTATCTCAGTTTAGCTTCCACAACAATTATTAATTCAGTTATTGTATGTATGAATTCTTAGTAGGCGTTTGGCCATGCGATACCATATCATGATATGGTATCGTGAGATGGAATCATCGTGTGGACATGCGATTTTACGCTGATTCCATCTCATGATTCTATATCATGAGATGTGATTCTATATTCTCCAAAAACCATGATATGGAATTATATGTAAATAAAATTTTAATACAAAAATCATGATTTGAGATATTTTAATACAAAAATTGATCCACGAGTTTATATTTTATTAAAACAACCCCACATTTATATCTATTAACCATTTATTTCATATGTAAATAAAATTTATAATCACATCATTACTTTTTTAAAATTTATTATTCTCACCGACATAAAATTTATTATTCTCACCAACATATAGTCACTTTAACTCACACCAATTGATTGTTAAAGTGATGAAAATATTTATGGTCTATGAGCATGAAAATATAGTTTGCGGATGATATTGACCAACAAATGGCTCAAAGTAACAATGTTGGTTCATATTCTCGGTCACATGATTGAGAAATGCAACATTAAGAAATTGTCCGTACTATGTGGGAGGATTATATTAAAGACTAGTACACTACAATTTATGTTCTAATTTTTTTTTTTATTAAATTAAAGTTAGATGAAACAATTACTTAAGTGGAGAACAAGTAACTTTGTAATAATTTACTATGTGATTTTATAAATTTTTGTTTATTTGATAAGATTGAATAAACAATTGGGACTATTTTAATAGTTTTACAGCTTATGGGATTTTTATGTTTATGAGAAAATATACAACACAAAAACTCCATATCGCATGCCCAAACAAAACTTCAATTTCATATCATGATTCCATATCATGATACCATATCGCATGGCCAAACAGGCCCTTAGTGTCAAGACAGACCATGGTTTGCTTAGGGTCACTGGTGACTCTAAGAATCGTGTTACAACTAGGGGTAGTCTCGGATCGTGACAACATTGATATGAGAGCCTCAGGTTTAAAGTGTCCTAGGATGTCTGTAAGTCACGTTAAGTAGAGACTTATTCATAGGTGTGAAGCGCGCCACACTTATGAATGAGAGGCTATGAAACGTTTTAGAAAATATTTCTCTTCTTTCATGATTCTTATCGTGCGAAAGAGTGTGAACTCTATCTAACCTCCTTCTAGCTTGTGCTCTACGCGTTTACAGAATTATGCCTCCTAGAAGAGTTTATAGAAGAAGAAACGCAAATGGAAACCAGCAAGCACCACCAGCTCCAACACACCCTTTGAATGAACAAGTCTCTCATGCCGAGTTCTGGGCTGCTGTCTAGGTGCTAGCTCAGGCTATGACTTCTTAGGTCAAATCAACAAGTTGTTGCTCAGGTTAACCCAAATGGAAATACAGCAGCGGCAAGGGTCCGGGACTTTACTTGAATGAATCCACCTGAATTCTATGGCTCTAGGGTAGAGGAGGATCCGCAGAAATTCATTGATGACATCCAGAAGGTTACACAGATTATGGGTGTTTCTCCAGTTTAGAGTGCAGACTTAGCTGCTTACCAGTTTAATGGAGTGGCTAAGGTTTGGTACAAACAATGGAAGGAAGATAGGGGTGTTGATGCAGGCCCAGTGGACTGGAATAAGTTTGTGACAACATTTCTGGATAGATTCTTTCCACTTGAGCTAAGTGAAGCCAAGGTACATGAGTTTATTAAACTGAAGCAAGGTAACATGACTGTGAAGGAGTATTCTCTTAAGTTTACTCAACTCTCTAAGTATGTTCCATCAATAGTGTCCGACTCAAGGGCCTGTATAAGTAAGTTTTTTCAGGAGTTTTTGAGACCGTGGTTAAGGAATGTTGGACTGCTATGTTGAATAAGGAGATGGAAATCTCCAGATTGAAGACTCATGCCCAGCAGATTGAGGAAGAGAAAGTTAAGAAATGTGAGAGGGAGAGTAAAAGGGCAAGGACAAGCAGTGTAGACTATTCTCAACAGAAGTCGGGCGGTGGCAATCGCTCTCCGTTCTGTCAGAAGTTTTCGGGGGTTATTTATGCATTATCCCTTTTTATATTTAACTAAAGTTAGATCAATAAATGTTGTATTTTTTGAGAAATGCATGCTCAACGTGAGGAGATTGTTCATACTATGTGGAAATATTAGAGAATTAGCCTAGTATCCCTAATTCTGCTGGTAATTTAATTTTCACTCAATCCTCCTTTAGTCTTAAATACGCTTTGTTATTGCTTGCTTATGCGTGTACCAATAATGACTTGTATCTGTGTTCTGTTTTTCGAGTATACTTTTGATGATGATAGTAAATAAAATATATGTTTGTCCTACAATATACCATCTGTCAAATTTACATTTTACTGTTTGCTGACTTATATAAGCTCACATAGGGACTTTATTAAAAGTCTACAAAGATCTATACCAGAAATGGATTATACGGCCTGTTCCTGCAGTAAACAGCTAATGTACACGAATCCTAAGAATACCATACGTACACCTGAGATTTTTGGCTGCTATCAATGAAGACAACTACATTCTGCCCATGTGACATATGGTCGATGTGGCTCATTCATAACATGAAGTAGAGGTAAACAAAAAGTAAAATAGTGCAGCTAAGCACATTCATAATATTTCTTAATTTTATTCAATCATTCAGAACATATTAAAGACTTCTTAAATCTTAAATCACAAAATGAGGGAAATGCAACACTCTGAAGTACAAACAGTACATGTCTACTGGTAGTACAAATTACAACTATATTAAAGAAACCAGTAAACAAAAAGCAACATGTTAACTTTTATGTTTACAGAAATGTGTTCTTGACTTTGTTAAGCCTCTTGACTACTTCTTTCATGGTTATTCTTGATACTGGCATTTCCTTTGTGCAGTCTAATGCCAATTCTATCATGGAGGCTATGCATATTTCACTTTTACAAGTGACTTGTTTTTCCTCAGAAAAAAGATTGGCATCCACAACATCCATCATAGTCCCTGAAAATGATTGTGTGATCCATTTCCTCAAGTCAAGATTTTGGTTGCATATCTCTTCATCTGTTGGCCTTCTTTTTGGTCAAAATCTCCATCAACATGATGCCGTAGCTATAAACATCACCACTAGCAGACACTATTCCCTCCGAGCCATATTCTTAGGAAAGGATTGAAGAAAAGTTACTCAATTGAAATACAACAATAATTCTGCATAAATAAAGACTTAGAACTTGGAGAGGCTTAATTATGATAAGAGAAAATCAAAGAGAATAGATTTTTTTTATACCTGGTGCAATGTATCCAAGAGTGCCCAATGTCTCTGTATAAGCCATGGACTTGCTTATCGCTAAAATTTTAGGGATGCCAAAATCACCAACATGAGCCACCATATCTTCATCCAAAAGAACGTTGGCTGGCTTTAGGTCGCAATGAACTATTGGAGTGTTATGCCCATGGTGTAGATATTCAATTGCCACAGCCACATCAAGCATTATGGTGACTCTTTGAAGAAGGTTTAAGTTGGACTCTTCTCTGTACAACCAATTCTCAAGACTCCCATTTGACATATATTGCAGAACGAAGGCTCTTATGTAGTCAGTAGAACAAGTAGTAATCACCGGAACGAGATTTCTATGTCTAACATTTCTCATCACTTCGCATTCGGTGTCAAACCTTTTGCATACTTCCTCACTTTGCAAATCCAGAACCTTAATGGCCACCAAAGTTCCACCAGATAATGTGCCTTTGTACACAGAGCCAGAACCTCCCACACCAATTAAATTTGATTCATCAAAATTATTTGTTGCTAGTTGAATCTCGTGATAAGAAACTAATTGATGAGTCCTGATCTCCTGTACCTTTTCAACATCTTTGGACTTTCCTTTCTTCTGTCGTTTCATTATCCAAATTGAAACCAACAATATTATCATCAAGGATGAAATAACCACTGGAGTAGCAATTTTTAGCACAACCTCCTTAAACTTTGATTGTTTTCAAGGATAAGTGATAGCACAAGCAGGAATCTCCAATATGTGGACTCCACATAGACCTTTGTTCCCAAGAAATGATTGCAGAGTGGAATTTGCAAACACACCACCACTCGGTATTACACCTTCTAAATCATTAAATGAAACATTAATGCTTTTAAGGTATGAGAGTTTTTCCAAAGACTTCGGAATAGTACCTGACAATGCATTTAAAGACAAATTCAAGAATTCCAAGATTATCAAGTTGGCAAGGGATAATGGAATTTGTCCAAAAAATGAATTGTTGGATAGGTCAAGAGACTGCAGGTTTAGGAGTTCTCCCAATCTGCTTGGTAACATTCCTGAAAAGTGATTACTGGAAAGATCTAGCGCTATAATGACTTTAAGTTCTCCAATATCTGATGGAACTTCTCCCTCTAAAGAATTTTGTGACACGTTTAGAAAGAGAAGACCACTCATTTTCCAAAGGTTTGATGGAAATTTTGATGAAAATTTATTAGAACTCAAATAAAGATATTGTAGCATGCTAAGATTTCCTAAGCATTCTGGAATTAATCCAGAGAGCTCATTACCTTGCAGAGTTAATTTAACCAAATTAGATAATTGGCATACTGCCTTTGGAATATGTCCCTTCAATTTATTGTTAGTTAGATACAGCCCCTGGAGTTGTTTAAGCTACCAATCTCAGGAGGAATACACCCTGTCAAGTTGTTTCCTTCAATGATTAGGGTTGTAAGACCGCTCATGTTGCCTATACTTGTGGGGATGAGGCCATTGATGTGTGTGTCTGCTATATAAAAGTTTTGAATAGTATATGAAAGATTCCCAATAGAATTGGGCAGAACACCATTCAACAGATTTGAAGAATAGCAACTCACGCTGTCTTGGTTCATTGGCAAGTTGATTAGTATGTAGGAGCAGTATTTGCAGCTCATGAAGATTTCCCAAATTATTAGGAATAGTTCCTGTGAGAAAGTTATTATTTAGCTCCAGTATCTCAAGCTTGGAAGCATTTGTTATGAACAATGGAATTGCCCCTTTGATCTGGTTGACTCCCAAGTGAAGATCCTTAATGTTTGGAAGATGAAGACCTGTAGTGGTTGGAATTCTCCCCGAGAGGTTATTGAAATTGAAACCAATCACTTCCAAAGAAGATATGTTGAAAATAGCCTCTGGAATTTCACCAATTAGATTAGAATTATTGTCAAAGCCTAATTCCCTCAAATTTGATAGCTTCCCTAATTCCGGAGGAATTTGCCCCACCATGTGATTGTTTTTGCAATAAAGATATTGCAGAGTGGAAATATTTCCCAATGATGTGGGAATAGTCCCTTTTGTAGGATTATCACCAATTAAGAACTTTTTGAGCTTGGATAAATAATCAATATTTCTGGGTATTTCTCCAGTTATGTTGTTGTAAGATATGGACAAAACTTCGAGCTCTGTGAGTTGGCATATGTTGGAAGGAATGCAACCAGAAATTTGGTTGTTAGATAGACTTAAAAACTTCAGATTTGACACAGTATTCCCTTAATCTAGCAAGAGAGGACCAGAAAGGCTATTGATTCCCAGATGCACTTCAAGTAGTGATGAGATATTAAACAGTACTGCGGGAATGGAACCTGTTAATTGATTATCGGCCAAGGACAAGGATGCAAATTGGCTGAGATTACCAATTTCCTTTGGAATGTTGCCGCAGACTCTATTCCCATGCAAACTGAAGTTCAGCAACTTTGTTGCATTTCCAACAGAAGGAGGGATCATACCTGTGAGGCTATTGTTCGTGAGATCAAAGACTTTGAGTTCGGGTACATACCATGGACCTTTCCAAATTTCACCACCGAGTTTGTTGAAAGCCAATGAAATCTTCTGAACTCTCCGGTGTTGAAATAAACTTGTTGGTATACTTCCGTTAAGCTGGTTGTTTTGAATATCAATCACTTGCAAGTGAGGCAAGTGGCCGAGTCCACAAGGGATGCCACCGTGAAATCTGTTGTTCCCAAGATTCAGCTCTCTGAGAAAGGACAAATTGGCCAAAGATGGGGAAATTTGTCCTTGAAGTTGCAAATTAGGAAGATCCAAGGCCACAATCCTTTGCCTTATGGAACTGCAAGTGACACCAAACCAAGAGCAAAAAGAAATATTTTTGGTCCAATTACTGGCCACAATCCTTTGCCTTATCGATTTTGTTTTGTAAGAAATGTATGCAAAATAAGGGAAGAATTCGATCTAGAAAAATGAGAGAAAACCTCTCTATTTATAGCCAACAAAGGGTAAAGGTCACAACCTTTCAGAAAGGTCACAACACTTTGGAAAAGGCACAACCTTTCAAATGGTCACAACCATTTAGAAAGGACACAACCTTTCATAAAGGTCACAATCCTTCGGCATAGTCATAACCCTTCAGGAGAGTCACAACCCTTCATTTCCTGTTCACACCTTTAAAACCCAACAATCCCCACATGAATAGGGAATGACTATTGTTAAAACATATGCATGAAAAACTGTGTGATTCGTAAGTAAGGATTGATTGCATCTGGATAAGTGGGTTTCCCTTTAAACTTTCCACAGTGAACATATATCGGATATACTCGATCAATCGGTAGATTTGATATCTTTGAACCGTCGAGCTTTGGTGTATACCTAGACAACATAAGTCACACAATCAACCCTT